AACAAATACTTCTTCATTATACGCTCGCTCTTTCTCCTTGTTGAAGTAGAAGTTGAGAAATATTTAAACAGTTTACAAGTAGTGATCAAAGATGAAAAGCCCTAATTCTTGCAAACATACCTCTGTTCTGGATGCCGTCTCCTAGTAATCCTTCCAAATCCCCCATTGTTTTGATGAAGATTATGAACCTAATTTTTAGCTACTGATTGAAGATATTGATTGATCAAATTGACGGTTTCTTTATTGATTGGAAGTTACAGAATAGGCTGACAAAATAGGATACGTTAAGATCATTCAGTTTTTACCATTCTACCCTCTGATCCATTGTGAACCTAATTTTTAATTAATATTGTAATTTAATAATTAATTGTTAGTCTCAATAAATGACAATCGTTGGATGTTCAAATCAACGACCAAGATCGGTTAACAAATTTAACACGATAATCTTGGTTTGTATTTGAACCATATATATTATATATATATATATATATATATATATATATATTGACAGGTTCAAACGAGAACATTAACTATAAATAGAATAAGAAAATGGTCGAACCACATGTGATTTACACTGAAACCACGTGTAAAATCACATGTGATTCACGCGACTTTAGCCGCGATCTGAGGTCGCAGGCTACATCGCTCACACACCTTTAGGCTAACTCTTAGTGTAAAATCACATGTGATTACCCTTTTTTGTGTTTCTTATATGAGGGCTTAATCATTTGAGAGCTACACATATTGCGATAATTGTATGCGATAATTGTGAGAACTTTTATCTTAAAGTATTGTTTCACATGATTTTACTCTTCTAAGTCTATATTTCATCTCTTCAACAAGTTTAGTAATGAGCATAACGGCCCTATTGTTTCGATGGATAGAGGAACCTTCCCCAAACTAACGAAGAGATCTTGGCGACCCAATTAGTCCGTTCTTGCAAGAGGGGTGTATGTTAAATAATATTTCCTTATATATTGATGAACATATATTTGTTTAACAATGTGTTTGCTTCATGTGTATGTGGTTCACTATGTGAAAAAATTTTACGTGCAATTTTTGTTTTACAAACGAGTTAAAAAGGTTCATACTGTAAAACAAACATATTGTGAAACAAGTATACGTTAATCAATATTTTAGATTCTAGTTTTAGGTGGAAAAAATATTAAATAACAAAGTATGTACTAGTTCTCAAGGTTATCATAATTTCATGTTTTCTCAAAAAAGGTATATATATATATATACACATATATATATATATGGAGCGAGAGAGAAAGGGAGGATATAAAACGAGAATAATAACTATTTAAGTGAATACCAAAACGGTCAAATTACCTGCAAAATCATATGTAATTTTACAGTAACGGTCAAAAAGGCATGGTGACTTCGCCCGTGACTTTAGGTCGTGGGGCAAAGTCGTATGAATCACATGTGATTTTGTACGTGATATTAGTATAAAATAACATATGATTCGATCTTTTCTTATTCTCCTAAATAGATCTTATTATCTTTTAAACACGAATATATATATATATATATATACATACTTGGGATCATGTGAAACAAGGTTGTTTTCATGAGACACGATTTTTATACTTGAAACTTCATAGCAAAACACTATGAAAGTAACCTTCACAGTATTTTTGCTGTGAAAGTGCGACTCCTTTTACCTTCACAACATTTTGTTGTGAAGTTTCAAGAGTAAAAATCGTGTCTCATATGAACCCAATCATATGTGTGTGTGTGTATATATATATATATATATGTAGAGAGAGAGAGAGAGAAAGAGTTTGGTTTAAATGTTAACCAAGATTATTATGTTAACTTTGTTAACCAAGCTCAACCAATGAAAATCCATCTTTTATCTAGGTTCATATTCATCTCATAATTTAACGACAAGGGTAAATATGTAATTTTAGTCTGTATGTAACTCCCATATCATTAATTGAGAGTTACAAAATCAAAAAATCTCGTATTGTTGTTGATTTACTATTGATCTTGTTTTTCTATAATATTGATTAGTCTATCTATAATGTTCTTGAATTTGTGATTGCTAAAAGAGAATCGATAGTAAAGTTTATCGTTCAAACTAATATGGATAAACCCATTGGAAAATAACTCGACAACAATGGGAAGGTTAAAATGGTTTACGATGACAATCGGACTTCGAGTTCCGGAAGTGAAGACAATAATCAAAGCGTTTGTATTGGTAATTGATTAATATGTTATTGTATTCGTTTTAATCGAAATTATGTTGATTATGATGTTTTTGTGTTTTTTATAGTTCATATTGTGTTGGTAGTTTTTTCTTTAATCATTACTACGAGACCAATTCATATGTTCAAATGGAATGAGTTCATCGTCAACTTAATTTGTTATGCAATCCAATTCTGATAACCATTCGGCTTCATTAGCTGGTTGTGATGCTTGATATACCATATACTGCAACTAGTGTTCATATACGTTCAAGTGTGTTCATATATGTTCTAGTAAGGACATGAATCAAGCCATCTTATATTGAATTTATAGTTTTTGTTAATTTATTATTGATCTTTTTTTTAATATTGATTTTTCTATCTATAATGTTTTTGAATTTGTGATTGGTAGAAAAAAAGACCCGGTAGTAAAGTTTTCGGTATCGTTCAAGCTATTATGGATAAACTCATTGTTTATAATGAAGGAACTATTGTTCACAAGTTCATATTGTGTTCATATGTACACTAGCTACATATCTCAACATTGGCTCGTTCCTGAATATGTTCATAATAAAGGAACTATTGTTCACAAGCTGTTCATATTGTGTTTATATGTACACTAGCTGCATATCTCAACATTGGCTCGCTCYTGAATGTGTTCATAATGAAGGAAATATTGTTCACAAGTGTTCATATTGTGTTCATATGTACACTAGCTGCATATTTCAACATTGACTCGCTTCTGAATGTGTTCATAATAAATGAACTATTGTTCACAAGCTGTTAATATTGTGTTCATAACTTTTATTTATTTATTTCCTTTTGTGTAACAGCTATTCTTATTATATTTATATTATGTTCATAAATGCTATACAGTCCAAGTTCATATATATATATATATATATATATATATATCAATTTTTGTTCGTATTTGACACAATGGTTCATATATGTGTGTGTGTTCATATGGTTCTTATATTAACAAAAATAATGAGATTTTTTGATTTTGTAACTCCCAATAAATGATACAAGAGTTACATAAAAAAGAAATTACCTAAATACCCTTTTCCCCTTTGTTCACATATGTTTTTTGAAATTGTAAATTAAATTTTTTTTTATCATGATTAATCACAACCGTTTATTGTAAGAATTAATGGCCAAGATTAGTTAACAAAGTTAACACAATAATTTTGGTTAACATTTGAATCAACCCTGATATATATGTATATATATATATATATGTGTGTGTGTGTGTGTGTATATATTTATATATATATATATAGAGAGAGAGAGAGAGAGAGGAGGAGGTTTACTTTGCAAACCATATTATTTGTACAAATCATACAAATCTCATTCAATCAATTATAATTTTTCATTTTGTTCATTTTTTTTTGTAATTATGAGAAATTGATTAATCATTTTTATTGTGGAGGGTGTTAATCATGGATATTATCATTTTTATTATTTTAATTTTAGAGAAATTATGAAACATTTTCATTAAAATTTCATGAAGCATTATATGAAACAATTTCATAACCATATATGAAACAACTTCATCAAAAAAAGTATTATATGAAATAATTCACAAGATTAAATAATTTCATGAAAAAATTTCATAAGATTAAGCAATGAAATCGACGGATGAGAGTGGTTATATGTAGGGGTGATTTCATCTATTGATAACTTTGTGAACCAATCTTATCCATTGATCTTTCAAATTTTTGGTTGAGATCATTCATGACATAAAATGTAAATAATTGCATATATAGACAAGATAACATAAGTGGACAATGTTTACAAAGGGTATTTTGGGAAAAGATTTTAGTTGTCCATTAATGATAATGAGATGTTTTGTAACTGCCCATGAATTAATGACAATGAAATGTTTTGTACCCCGTTAATGACAACACGATGATTTGTAATTGTCCATTAATAACAATGTCACTAGCCGGTAATTAATCTCGTCATCGAGTCGAAACTGACAGCATGATCCCCTTCATCAGATTCTTTTAACATCTTTTTTGGTTAATGGTTCATGTGTGAACAAGTATACGATATTTATGAGAATGGTTCATTTGTGAACAAATGTGTATATAGAAAAAGTTCGTAAAGATTTTTGTAACATTCATCTTTTAATTTAATAAACACATACAGTAAGTAGTCTCATTCATATATGAAATAAATATGGAGTGATACCTGATGCACCTACAAACAAACATCAAATTGTGCTTATGAACAATGTTCATGTGTTTACTTTTGAACATTATTCAAAAAAAATTAAATAATTGGTAATTTGTACATACCTAGTTGTCGTTACATGCATGTGGTTATCAAGTTCACATATGAATACAATATTTTTTTAAATGTAGAAACGAAATGGTTCACCTATGAACAAGTGTTTACTCAGGTATAATTAAGAAATGTAACTGACAATTAATTTACTTGGAATAATTAAGAAATATATCCGACAATTAAAATCGAGTAATTAAAAGTCAAGTAATTTGATAATTTTTCAAAAAATGAAGTGTTGGATTTTCGACGACCGGAATCCGCCAGAAATGGAAATCCGTAAGTAAAATTGATTTCGGTGTTCCTTCTTCCAGCAAGACATTCTGCAGGAAATCCCTAGGTATACCCGATCCATCAGAAAAAACCCTATTTTATAGTGGGATCATTTCTCCATAATATATGTTGGAACATCTTTTCTCTTCTTAACAACTCTTTTGAAAAATAATTTAATAAGTTGCATGTATTCTTCCATATACGGCCCGAAAGGACTTGTAATTTTAATGTAATCAATATCAATGAAGTACAATCGTTATCCATTATAAACCTTCATAGACACAAAACTGGCACAAAGTAAAACATGTACATAAAAAGCTTACACGACAAAAAACGAATAACATGGGAAATGAATAGTTTCAGTATCGAGAGCCATCTACTATCTTCTTGCGATCTTCTTGGAAAGCACGTAAATCGAGAGCCAAACCAGGAGTAGAAGAGTTATGGAGGATATGAGTGACAGAAGAATAGAGGCCGCAAAGTGGAAACAATAGGAACCATATGTATGACATATCTTGTTCCATCTGCTATGAGAGTTTCCTTTTAGTCCTATATATCCAACTCCTCCTGATGATCCTGTTGCTGCAGCCACGATTCCCAAAAGCAACTACACAACATGTACTCGTCTTAGCTTAATTCATTCATTCGTGTTCAATTCATACCGACAAAACTTCATCCGTACAAATAATACTTAATTAAAAATTACAACCAAACACCCCGGCCCGTTAGTTTCTTTCTTTTAAGATAGCACAAATGTGTCTTCTTTTCTTTTTCAAGTGAATATTTTGCTTGAATGATGTTCAAATTAAACATGGATCCCTTCACTACGACAAAAATGAGTTATTTAGAATGTACAAATGTCCTAATAGAGTACTTAACAAGACATTGAGTTTATAGATCCAATAAACTAAAAATGTTACAATAACTACTTGTTAGGACGAAGCTAGACCACCAAACAAGTTCTATAAAGGAAACACAATTATTGCTCCTATAAATTTAAACTAAATAGCAGTGTATGTATTTCAATAAATTAGTGTGTCTCATGAGCTTACCGCATCGAGCATCACAAAATGCAACTGTAGCTTCGTGGAGATCCCTCCTGGCTTCATGAGTGACAAAACTGATACCAGACCAGTTATGATGCTGTACAAACCAGCCACCGAGAGTGCTGCTACAAAGTATCTGCATATCATAACACAAAACAATTAAAACTATATATATCGTATTCAATGCCATTTGAGCCAACGGTCATGGATATTAAATATCTTAATTGAATACTCAATGAGACCCTTTTATTAAAGTACTCTATTAAGACATATGTAGATGCTAAAAGACTCGTTTTATTGTAAGGTATGCTACACTTACATGTAAGCTGGTGAGTTACTGAATTTTGCAGTCCTGGTTACAGCAAGGCCCGGTGCGACCGGAATCTGTTTGGTTTCTTCAGAAGTGACCATCACGATGATACCAATCAAGGCAGTTGCAAACAGCAAAACCCTCAACAACACATCAAGCAACGCGTGCTTCTTGAAACTTGCAGAACCTCTACTACGGTTGTACTCCGGTGGTGGTGTTGCTGCTGTTTTCAGCGGCACCTCCATACTAGCTGCGGCATGTGGATGAATTGTGGTGTCATTAGATGCCATGGCTGCCGGAGTTTAGATTAAAAGAAAGTGAAGTTTGTGTTTTTGGAAAGTATGATTGGATATACAGTATTCATATGTGCATTTATAGAAGGATTTGTCAACTGATTTGGCACAACATATGGATGGTGTTCACATATGAATAGGTGATTGAATTCTGATATACCCTTGATTAGCATGTTCACACAGCGTATGGTGATCTGGTCAAGAAGGGATTACTTATGGGTTTTGTTTGCTTTGGTCTTTGTTTACGTAAGTCAAAGCTCATGGTTACGGTGGTTGGCCATCGACGGCCTATTTTATACCTCTTTTCTTCCAACAACAGCCGCCTATTAGAATATGGGGATGTGGGGGTGTTTTTATGGTCAATTTTGCTTTTTGTTGATATATTTATTTGGTTTTCTTTTTGGTTTTTGTGGTTTTTGTGGTTTTCTAACTTTCTTGTTTTGATCCATAAAATTTGTTTGTTATAAGTTTATCATCGTAGTTTATATTTTTGTATGTTTTTGGTCTCTCAGAATAATGGATGTTAAGTTTTATCTATTGAGTAAGGGTATTTTAGGTTTTTTTCTCATTTTTTAATTGTTTTTAGTTAAAAAATTAAATAAAAATCGGGTATGTGTGTGTGTTTGGAGGTTCAAATGAGAACACAATCATTTTATGAAAACACGATAACATATATACTTATCACATGTGATAATGGATGTGAAAGACCCTTGTGTGTGCGGACGACTTGATCCGCGACCTAGGGCGCGCCAAATCGCTTGTATCCCTAATTTAGTATTACATATGATTGACTAAAGAGAGTGTTCTGTCCTTTTTGTAAAATTCATTTTTGATTTCGTTTGAATCATTCCCTATATATACACACATACACACACACACACACACACATATATATATATATATAGAGAGAGAGAGAGAGAAAGAGAGAGAGAAAGAGAGGTAAGATCAAATGTTAACCAAAGTTTTTGTATTAACTTTATTAACTATTTCAACCAATCACAATTCATGTTTCTATTAGGTTTTTATCTAGCTTACAATTTAATGCCAAGGTTAGTCGAGTAATTTCATTTTTTTTATGTAACTCCCATATTATTAATTGAGAGTTACAAAATCATAAAATCTCTAAAAATGTGCATTTTTAATATTGATATTTTTAATATTGATCTTCCATTTTTATTGTTTTATGAGTTTGTGATTCGTGAAGGAAACACGGTAGTAAGATCTTCGGTATCGTTCAAGCAATTATGAATAAACGCATTGGAAAAGAACTCAACAACATTGAGAAGATTAAAATGGTTTATGGTGACAATCGAAGTTCGATTTCGGGAAGTGAAGAAAATAACCATAGCGAATGTCTTGGTAATGGATTAATATTTTATTGTACCCATTTTAATCGAAATTATGTTTATTATGATGCGTTGTGTTTTTTGTAGTTCATATTGTGTTGGTAGCTTTTTCTTTAATTATTAATATGTATCTAATTCACATGTTCAAATGGAATTCCATGCATGACTCATTTTCATATGGTCATATAACCGACTTTTATGAATCATGAACCATTGTGTTCATGTTACTACTCTCATTTGAGTATATATAACATTTCATGAACAAAATTTTGTGTCATGAATAAAAGTGTCATTTTTGAAGCTTGATCCCAAATCTTTATATTTGTGTAAGTTCTTGCACCTGGTGTTCATATATGTCAATTTGTGTAAGTGATTGACCTGGTGTTCATATGATGGGGGTTATGTATTCGTATATTTTCTATGAAATTCTCTTCCTATCTGGCTTCATCATGTTCACAGTTGTATACGTTCACGTTAATGACCCCCATCATATGAATACCGGTTCCTATTAATGATCTCACATGCTGTTCATATATGTTCATGTCAACTTACCTAGGCGTTGGTTAAAAATTTGCTCCCAAATGTTTATATAAGCACCGTTCTTGCACCTCGTGTGTATATATGTCAAATTGTGTAAGTGATTCCACCGGTGTTCATAGTATGGGGGTTATGTGTTCATATATGAACATACGATGTTCTCTTCCTATGTGGCTTGATCATGTTCACAATTTGTTCATATATGTTCATGTCAATTATTTTCGTCTATGAACATCTTGTGAACTTACCAAAGGGCCTTTGACCTAGCGGTATCGTAGCCCTTGGCCTTCTAGGAGGTTAGGGGTTCAAACCTCACCATAGGTGAGGAGGGTGTGTGAGTTTATTTGTTGCATTTTTCGTATATAAATATTATATACTTCAAAAAAATATCTTGTGAACTCGAACCAAATAGATCCCATCTGCTATTCATATATGTTCATGTTCATATATGTTAATGTTCATATATGTTCACATTACTCATCTCATAGTCGTTAATGATTGATCTAACTCGCACCAAATAAATCTATACACAATTTGTTCATATATATTCATGTCAATTATTTTAGTCTATGAACAGCTTGTGAACTCGAACCAAATAGATCTCACCTGCTGTTTATATATGTTCATGTTCATATATGTTCATATTAATCATCTCATGGTCATTAATGATTGCTCTAACTCGCATCAAATAAATCTATTTTTTGGTTGTTGCAGTTGATTACTCAAGTTATGTAATATTAATGTTCATTGATTTTACTAATTATAATGGTATCAACATGTGTTCACATACTTACACATTCCAAACATGAAACGGAGTACGATGTCGGAGAGTGTTCAAATGGAAGCAAGTATTTTATCCCCAATGTTGATTGCGAGCTTAAACCAAAGATCAACGCACAATTCATATCTATAAATGAAGCGAAAAAGATATACAGGACATACGCGAACAATGTCGGGTTTGATGTTCGTCTTCATGTAAAAAAAAAAATAAGAACGGAGACATACAAACAAGATGGTTTGTATGTAGTAGGGAGGGAATACCAAATAAAAAGTATTTTGATTCTATGGCTCTTCAGTCCGGCAAGAGGAGATACCGTAATACGAACCTTAAACAGTGTGGATGCAATGCATGTATAAAATTCCAATTGACAAATGATCGCTCCTGAATGTGTTCATAATGAAGGAACTATTGTTCACAAGCTGTTCATAATGTGTTCATACCTATTTTTTTATTTATTTCATTTCCTGTAACAGTTATTCTTATTATATTCATATTGTGTTCATAAATGTGATGCAATCCAAGTTCATATATATGTCAATTTTTTGTTCGTATTTGACACAATGGTTCATATATATAGTTGTGTTCATATGGTTCTTACATTAACAAAAATAAATTAGCAAAAATCATGTATTTTTTGATTTTGTAACTCTCAACTAATGATATGGGAGTTACATAAAAAAAGAAAAATTACTTAAATACGTTTTTCAACTTTGTTCACTTATCTTTATGAAATTTTAAATTTAAAAAAATAAGTTTTTATCATGATTAATCACAACCGTTTATTGAAAGATTCAATGGCTAAGATCGATTAACAAAGTTAACACACAAAATTTTGGTTAACATTTGAACCTGACCCGATATATATATATATATATATATATA